TCCGCTCAAAATTTTCGAGGCTCGACCTGTGTGATCTAGATTCTCTAAGTCCTTGAATCAAACTTTCACGCGAAAAGGAGCAAGAATCGAAGCAAGACCTGCTGTTCGGTGCTGCTTAACGTCGATGTTTTCTTGTTCCTTCACACCCATGAAATAGGCATTACAGTGCAAAACATTCTGACAATCGTGATATAACCCGGTTGCTTTCCGCAGTGCAAATCGACTTCGATGAAGATCACAGGATGTGCAGTCATGCCGTACTTCACATGGATTATCAATCCGCGTCCTGCTATTTGTTCTTGAATTTTGCGCGAATATCTTTCTGTTGTCACATAGTTAAATGTGTGGTTACTGTGTGTTCTGGTAGACCTTCCACTCCCATTATTCATTGCAATGCCCAACCTTGCAGGAAAGGTGCTTTTTCCGCGAAGAGGATCCTCCCAGAAAGCAGATGTACAAATCAGTGTCAAGCAGTCACACCGCACAGTAAAGTCTTGTTTCTGTACATAGGATTGGTTCCAGAGCAGTTGTTCAAACTCGGCAAGCATAGCGTGTTGGTGTATAAAAGTGAAGGGTAGCTCCTTCCTCATCGGCCTACGCTCTTCACAGCTGGTCCCCTCCTAGGAAATCACACTCTTCAATGCTTTTCAGACCTTTTCAGAAGATGACATTTCATCTGGAAGTTCAGGAATGAGGCTCATTACTGCTTCTGCTCTTCTTAGCTGTGGCGACCCACGCAGGTTTGCTGGATCTTGGCAAAGTCAAAGAATTCTTCAAAGGAGGAAATCTCGGCGAAAAAATTAAAGCCGCAACACTCTCGAAGTTCAAAAAGGTATACGCTGACGGATACCTCAGAAGTTGTAAGTCACTAAGAACCACTTTTAAGCTTTTCGAAAAGACTGGCGTTCTTTCACTTGGCAGCAAATTGACTGAGTTGAGAAGTAAGATGATGAAAAAGCTTCAACTATCGAATGAAAAGAAAGCAGAAATTGATCGCAAGCTCAAGGTAAGTGCACAAATGAAATCAGTGGAATCATTATCCAGTGATAGCGCAATTATTTTAGGAAATTGAGGAGAGACGAGATGATACCGTTGAAGACTTGAAAGACACGATATTCGAAATCAATTCTGAAAAGAACGTCGGCAAAACTCTTTTCCAGAGTGATATCCTACTGACAAAGTCAGTTGATCAGCTCGTTCTATAAGACCCACAACATTCTTTGAATTAGCCATGTCCAGGAGGCAACAAGAAGAAGTAATGGAAGGCCGTCGAAGGAACGTCCGCTCGATCAAAAGACAAGCGTTCAAGGATCAAGCATATCCTAACACCACATGGCAACAAGGAGTCTTCTACCGCTTCGACGATGGTGTAGGTCAGTTTCAGAGCTTTATTTTTCTTAGACCTCATTTGTATTGAGTCAGTTGATAGTGTTCACAAAACAAAAGTACTCTAGACTTCATTACAAAGCGAATATTCGAAAAGGGGGCGAAACAATGGGAAGAAGCAACATGCCTCAATTTCACCGAAGATAAGGACAAAAAAGGTTCACTCGTCGTTGAAGAAGCGTCGGTGGTGAGATGGCCAATAGATAACATTTCAGCTGAAAACAGCATTGTGCTAATCAAGGAAGATGGCTGCTGGTCATATGTAGGACGGAGTCGGTGGTGAGCAACCTCTCTCACTTGGTGACGGATGCGATCAGGTAAGAGGTGGATACGTTTGTGAAGTTCACTAAAGAAAATTGTGGAACTGACATGAATTCTCACGTAACAATCGCTCTCCGCTTACCGCAGCACAAAATTAAGGTTGGAATCGCTACACATGAACTCGGTCACGCGCTTGGGCTCTTCCACACCATGTCACGATACGATCGTGATGAATTTCATTACAGTCGTTCTTGATAATGTTGTGGTAAGTCACATATACACACTCTACAATAAGAACACAAGACAAGAAAATTCTACCGTCTTCAGGAAGGTTTCGTAGATCAATACGTGAAAGAGACAAATGAAACCACTACCAACTATGGATTTACCTATGATTATGGTAGCATTATGCATTACGGAGCAGCCAGGTGAATAGAATTACAGCATTCTGTGAACTAGGGTGACACAATACCCGATGATTCAGCGCCTCTCACAACAAGAAACCCACAATGGTAGCCAATGATACAAGATACCAGGAATCGATGGGCTCGCAGATCCTTTCATTCATTGATAAGTCTAA